TACTACTAATGCTACTACTACTGCTACTTCTTCTACTACTACCACTACCACTAACCACTACTAGTAGTATTATTATTATTACTACTACTACTACTACTACGACTGCTACTGCTACTACTGCTACCACCACTACTACTACCACCACCACCACCACTACTACTACTACTACTACTACTACTACTACTACTACTACTACTACTACTACTATACTACTACTACTGCTACTGCTACGACTGCTACTACTACTACTACTACTTCTACCACTACTGCTACTGCTACTGCTACTGCTACGACTGCTACTGCTACGACTGCTACTACTGCTACTACTACTACTACTACTACTACTACTACGACGACGACTACTACTACAACTACGACCACACGCAGCGATGGTATCACGAGCCTCACTCCCGCTACCATTGATGATTAATGACTACCACTGCCACGACCGCTACGACTGACAGAACGAAGTACTAAGACGACGACGACTATGAATCTTGTAGCTAAGAGGCAAATCACACAAAGAAGCATGTTCATAGCAACAAGAACAGCAGCAATATAAGAAGCACAAGAAGAACAGCATGCTTAGTACTACAATCCCGCGAAGGACTACGCACCATGTACCAAGACCCTGCCATCGCAGCACGCCAGCAACATCAACAACCACAACCGTAAGTACAACACAGAGTCATTCAAGCAAGCCAACAAACAGACAAACAAAACAACAAACAAGCCAATAACCAACAAATCAACCTCCGAGCGTACGCGCAACAACGCCGAAGTACTGCTAACACAAAGAGCTACATCTGCACGTGCCTGAAAACAATCTCCTTCGGCGAAACTCGCAGACGATCAAACATACAGTGCCTGCTTGTCACTTGGTCCGTTGACCAGTGTCAAGGAGTAGCGCTCCTTCTGGCACTCGGTCTCCATCTGGCATCGTGCTCCCGCGTGCACTTTCGGTATATAAGTAGGGTTATAAGTCCCCTGATATGGGTTATAGGTACAGTTACCCTACTTATAACTCTACTTATAACTACCCATGAACCTCCAAGTAGAGAGTGAACAAATACTAGCAGACGGCGAGGTCAATGCTGCTCAGATCACAGAAGGCTCCAAACATCAGTGTGGCTCTACTTACCAAAACACATCTAGCAACCCAGGCCAAGGTCTGTCGAGGCCGCAATGTCCACTTGCACATAGGCTGAACCTTCAACTTCAAGTGGTAAGCTCCCGGTCAAAAAATATTATGCTGGCCCGGGTGAGCGTTGCACTATTGGTGGTTACAAACCAGGACTGCCTGCCCTACTTGTGCAGGACATCCCTGCCAAGGGCAACAGAGGGTTACCTTAGGCGAAAAACAGACAACCCTGGCGAGCGGCCTGCTGCTGAAACGTCAGGGGCTGCTCGACGTCGTAACCTCGGCTTGGGAGCTCAAAGGGTCATGGACAAGGGAAACTTGGCGGGTGGGGCTCCATCAAGGGTCGCACCGCAACTGCACCTGATTCCGTGAAGCATAGAACTCAAGCCAGCAGTCTGCAGCCTTGCACATCCCAATCCCCTCGTTAGGCCAAAAGCCCCAAGCCGGAGGTCTTCGGCCGTTCAGGGCCCGGAACTTGACCCAAAATCGACTTGGAAGAAAGATGAACGAAGCTGTCAGCAGCCGCACAAATCACAATCATCATAGTCGAGGACAACGTCGGCGGCATGAGAGTCATCGGCATCAGCATGATCGTCGTCATCATGGTCAGTAGCTGCAGAAGACTCAGCATGGGCACCAGCAGGCTGCAACATAAATATCATCACAAGCATCACCATCGTCGTCCTCACCATCATAAGCATCATCACCATCACCAGCATCACCGTCACCATCATTGTAAGCATCGTCACCGCAACCACACACCACCATGGTGATCATCTTATCTTTGATGCTACAGAGCCGAATCCAGCCGTGCAAGTCGGAGCCTCTACTCACGCTCCAACCCTACCGTGCCGTAACGTCAAGCCACAGCCCAGCAAATATCCAAGTTGCGAAAGTTGGGGTATAGCAAGTGTAGAAAAATCAGCGTCCGGCACTCTGCTCACCCGAGCTCGCAACTGTAGTGCTTCATCAAGCTCTTCTGTGCGGCCCCTACGCCTCAGGATCTGGTGCATCGCTGCAGTTACAGTGCAAGCCCGCCTTTATATGGACATCCAATGACATCTTAGTCGTGAAATCCATCTGTCCATCTTTCTGCCCATGCTTTCATCCAACTATGCAGAAGTCTCAGAAGTATCCACGGGTCTGAGGGTTTTGCTACCTTCTTTCTTCTTTTCAAGGGCTCCGCGAGCCTTACGCTACTGAGCGAAATAGGCTTCTCAGAGCGGGGCTCCAGGATTCAAGGGACTCAACCAGGACCCTCCCTGTACCCTCAAGTAGCGGTATATGGTCCCAAATAAGGGGCATTTAGGTCTAATAGAGGGTAGATGGAGGGTCTATAGGAACCCAAAGAAAAGGTGGCATCCCGACACCCGGAGGGTTACACCTCTAGCTGTCAGTGGGTTGGGTTGCCGAGCTCCTGGCCAAACAACAGCTCACGGTCGTAGGACATAACATTGATCAAGGCCTCTGCGAACGAAGCTTCTTGCAAAGCATGCAAGCTTTTTTCCCATGTGCAACTGTAGTGGTGTCTCTTAATGTTCGTTCCTGGACTACAAAAGTTAGTAATCTTTAGGCTAAGGGAGACGATGATGTAGAAACATGGACTACTGGCAACAAGATTGTTGGGCAAGGGAAATGGCCCTAACTGCGGGAAACTCGCGCCGGCATAGGATGCTGCGAATTCCTGTCAAGTCCAGGCCATCTCGTCTTGCGAACCACATCCACATCCTTCGAGTTTCCACACTGCAAACTTTCTAACCCTAAACCCTAAACCCTTAACTTTCTAACCCTGGCCCTGACGGACAAATCCTTTCACCAAGCACTGAGCCGGCCTTGCCCGAGTACATGTTGCTCTCAAAGGGGTTGGGCACCATGCCTCCGCCCAGTTGAGTTTAAGGAAGCACAATAGCAACAAGAAGAGTCATGAATTATGGGAACGGCAGAAGGTGAAATACGTAGCAGAGCAGCCACGCGCCGTTGTCGCTACGAAGTATGAACGTGTTAGTACCAGTATTCTGGGAATCATCAGTCGAGGCTACTGCCATCCCTTCTAGCCCCTGCCGCTGCTACTCTGGCCGCTTTTGTCTGCTACGATTCTTCGCGGATCCATCTGCCCTCCTGAGGCAGCAACATATCCGCGCGAGACACTCCGGAGTGCGTCAAGACTTCTGCACCCCAGGACGCAGCACTTTGCCAAAAGAGAGGGGGGCACGCATCTAGCCGACGCGGACGAATACTTCGCTGCATGTTATAAGACCTTTGCCTATAAAACAGGCAGGCAGACTGAAGGTACGGACATCTGACGGGCAGTCTTCCTTGGGAAGTCATGCCTTTGGTGCTCACATGTGCGAAATCACATCATTATCTGAAGGACGGCGAGGACTACGTCATCCAGGCAATTCGCAGCGCCCACGGCCCTGCTGCCCAGGAAACCCTCCAAGCGGTGAAGTAAGAGGTTCTGCAGCCTGTTGTTGAAGGCGGGGATGTCCTCAATCCTCGGTGCGTCTCAAAGCCCCCTAAACAACAACTGTCCTCGCATACCACAATGACAATGACAGACGAATCGCTCCACATGCCGCCCAGAATCTTGCTGAGGACTAGCTCTTTGTCTGCGGGGAAGGAGGCCTGGGCCTCCGCCACGTCCAGGTCCATGATCTTATCCAGGCAGTTCCGCTGGGATGCACCCGAGTGGAGCTTGATCCTGGATGCCACCACGACTTGGGGGTCACGGGACTACCTCTAGAGGAACGGGCTGAAAATGCTCGAAAGCCGTTCTCAGCAAGACCCAAGCATCGTTTGCGTGAGATGCAGGTTGTTCGCTTCCACGAGCTCGGCAACGCACCACACCTCGGCGGTTCTTGGAAGCCACTCGCAGGGTTGGATTTCTTGCTCCTTCATACTGACTATTGATATCTAAAAACATGTTCAAGAACGAGGCCCGGAAACGCGCGTGAGCAAGGAAAAATTCACCTCCATTGCCACCACCTGGAACTGTATCAAGATCGGCGGCACTCACTTCTTATCACAACTGCTGCTCCCTAGCAGTCGGAAGGGCGTCTTGTGCATTCAGCCCCTTACCCAAAAGTATGAGCACAACAGAAACTAGGAGCAGTATTAGTTGTTCAATGTTTGAAAGCATTGGTGAGCTGTTCCTGCGGTTATTGTGAGAGTCTTTGCAGTCTTTGCAACACTGTGACCACCTGCTGCAGCCGAACGTGGCTGAGCTCCCGGATGGACTTCTCGCGCAGGTATCTCTTCAAATAGGCCATCATGTCGTCGAACTTGTTCATCTCGCTGAGATCCCCAGAAAAGTGCTTCGCCCTAGTGCACCCACAGGGAATGATGGGATATCCTGTAGTGTCTGTGGGCGGAGGTGTGGCGCAAATTCCTGCATGCTGGTTCACGGAAAAGGCACACACCCAGTAGGGAACATCGAGCTTCCCCACATTTCGGAGCTTTTCTGCGAGTCGATCCAGCTTGCCGTGCCTGAGCTGATGTACTGAAGCTCCCACCTATGCCTGCTTCAAGCCTACGCCACTCTTCGCTTCCACCCGCCGCCCCGCAACTGCCCCCCACCTGAGGAGATCTGCCACGCCATCGTAGGTTTCGGCCTCCAAGGCATCTGAGAAGATGGCGCTCAGCAAGTAGGTGAACTTATTCCCCCAGCTGTGCGTGACCATCCGGATTGCCATCTGCGGCTCGCCATTGTTCACGCTCGTCGCGTACGAAAAGCCCAACACCTGCGTTGAGGGTAACAGACAGCGACAGTCGACCAAGACCAACGCGGCACAACGCCGACCTCACTGGCGGTAGGTACCTGAGATATGCACCTCGGCCCAGCTGCATACAGTTATGGTCGTCATAGCTTCTCTGCTGTGTGCTCCGCTAGCTTTGTACCGCTAAGCAGGTAACACTACGTTACCGTGTCGAATGCTTCAAGCCAGTGCATGGAGCCAGCCTTACGTTTCGCACTGCCGTCATGTCTATCTAGGCTGCAGGGAAAGGCCAAGCAGGCCGGGGTCAAGGCTCAATAGGCAAAAAACAAGGCTCTGCGTGGGTCTGCGTGGGTGCTTTAGGAGGCGACCAGCTTTTTGCTTGCTATATAACAGGGTCAATGCAGTCGAGGAACGCCTGCGGGTCTCCCATGCTAGCCGGCTCCTGACAGATTCGCAAAGCACGACTGATCATATTCAAGCAGAGATCCTCAGCATGATGCTGTTGGTGGTTTTTCACTTGATCACGGCTACGAGGGTTCCGGCCACAAAGCATAGCTCTTGACATCTACATGGCTGCTTCGTCGATGCTCCTACTGAGCTTTTCTGGGCCACATTGACATCCCCAGCGTGAGCGTCATAACTTCATAACCATCACAGCCATCGAGACGACTAAAAATCGCTGTCGACGTCGTGCTACCAGGCCTCGTCCATGTAGGCCATGCAGGCTGTCAGGCCATCAAGCCTTTGCACTGAAGGTCTACCGTCTATTGCTGAAAGACGTGGCTGGGACAGGGATCTTAAACAGGGAGTGATCTTGCGACAGGAGAGGTTGCATGGGGTTCCAAAGGTGCATCCCATCCACAACTGCTTGTACCTCTGAAGTCTGAAGTGCTTGTCGAAGCCTCTAAGCATCTAGTTATCTTGTTTCCTACTAGTAGGTCGACAGCCGTAGAACGATCTGTCACTCCCTGCCTCCGTCCCAGTCGCTTTCATCTTCTGACTTTCTCGCTCTCTACCACCCTCTCTCGCTCGCCCTCCCTCTCCGTCTCCCTGCTTCCCAACGGCTGGGTCGCATCTGGACTTCTGAGCTGAGCCCGAAGACAACTGCAATCAAGACAAAGAGGCCTCGTCTCCGCGACCCTAGGGATCATCCGCCGAGGTCCCCATCGATCTCTCTCTATCTCTCTCTCTCTCGCTCTCTCTCTCTCTCTCTCTCCCTCTCCGTTGTTCTCGAGCATAGGGGCTCGTCAACCCCGGAGTCTTTCGTCATTACTCACACCTTCCCAGCAATCTACGGCAATTTACGAAAGCTTCAGCAAGAGTGTTGATGGATTCGCCATCCACGGTCCAGAAGTCTAGGAGTTTTGGGATCAGAGTTTGGAGCTTCCGGTTCAAAGCTTCCTCTTCGGGGGGGTCCGATTGTCGTTGTTCAAAAATGGACTGGTTTAAAAAGGGGTCAGAGTTTGTTAAAGGTGTTGCTTGTGCTTGCGCTCTTGCCATAGTTGGTTGTTCCGGGTCTCTCTCTCCGCCTCTGTCTCTCGGTCTCTCTGTCCGCCGGTGTGTGTGTTCTCTTGCGGCACCTCTCCTTTCTTCTCTTGCACCCGGCTCTCCCTCTCCCGCTCTCCCTCCACAGTTTACAGTTTACACACATTCAGAAGCCCACGCTCTCAGCCCTTGTCAGCAAAGAGGCTGCGCGTGCCGAGACCTTCCGTCTCCGGTGTCCTCTCCAGCACCACCTTCAGCATCGTCCTGGGAGCAAGGTTGACCAAACTGAGACATCTTGCTTTTGAATCTCAGAGCCAGGCCTGCGAGTGATTCGTGGGCTGCAGGGGTCTGCCCTGGCCCGGGTGCTCGGCAGGAACGTCCAAGGTCGTCACGTCCTCCTCTTCTCCACCTCTGTAGTATTTGGCGGGACTGAACTACTTGGGGGCTTTGAGGCTCCCCGGACCTGCACTGGAACAGAACTCCCAGTCGCTGACGCTGGATCCGCGCCACACCGAGATCGAGAGGCTCAAAAACAGGCTGGAGTCTTTGCCCACCTCGGACGAGCCAATGTGAGAGGGCAGGCGCCGTGGAGATGTGTAACAAGCCCACCCGACCACCTATCTGAGAGCACGAGCGCTAGTGCTGCTACTGTCTGCTACTGCTAGAATGCTAGCTGCCGTATAATATGCTAGAGTTAGAGTCATGCAAAGCTTTATGCTACGAGCTACGACGGACAAATTCTCGCCGCACATCCACAGATCAGAGAAGAACGAGGATAAGACTGTCCGCATGGTGGCCATGCAAGAAGAGGCGGCAAGGGTGATCTAGCATCCTCTTTCAGAACCCCCTGCCCCTCGAGCTTCTGGCCTCCAGCTCGCTCTCGCAGCCGTTCCAGAACAGGCGGCTGCTCAAGGTCAGCATCTTGACATTGCCTTCCTCGGAAGCTTCATCGTCCTGGCCGCAGCAAAACACCGGCCACGACGAACGGGGCCTTTGCCCTTTTGCGAGGAGCCTAAGGGCCAAAGGGCTCCGAAACCAGGAAATGAATCCGGCCCTTGAAAGTCACGGCAGAGGTTCGGGGAGCAGCCGCTGTTCGAGTCCCCGGGTCCTGAATGCGAAGTTGCAAAGCCTCTTGCAGAACAATGCCTTCCACGAGGAAGGCTTCCCCAAGCTCCACGGGACCGCAGACGCTGACTTTCCAGGGCTTCGGCGAGGCATCACGAAGCACCGTGCAGAAGATCGATGCTGCGTGGAGATTGACTACCTTCCCTCTCTGGGAGATGCCATGCAGCACGACTTGGAAGGCACGGGACGGGTGGATGTTCAGTGACAAGGGTATAATCGCCTGCCGAACGACGTCGTGCGTGGTTGACTCGACTGGGTCGAAGCCTGGCATCACGTCCTCCGACCCCAGCAAGCTGTAGAAGTCCAAGAGCTGACGAACGGTGATGCCCCGCCCGGCCAACTCTTCCACCTTCTCATCCCACGGCGTCTTCTCCTTCAGCTCCGTGTCATCCTGAACTTCGGGCTCATCCAGCAGCTCCATATCCAGGCCAAAGCTCTTCGGCGCCGTTCCGGGTGAGGCCGCGCAAGCACAGCAGAGCAACTCGGGCCCTAGGCTGATGATGCATGCGAGGAGTGGCACCACGAACAACTTGCGCAGCACCACAAAGGCAAAGGACGTCATCCACTTCCACTCGTGTTCCTCCCCCAAATTCGCCAGGAAAGCCACGATGATCAGCAGATCGAGGATGGAGAGGCAGAAGCCGACTGCCCAAAACGCGGTGTCCCAGAAGAGCCGCACCCGCAACTGCCTCCGGCGGTTCGGGCTCGCCTGGACGAAGCTCCGGTGCGCCAGCGATCGTGCCAGGCCACAAGGCACCGAATTCAGCAGCACGGCAACCGAGGAAGCCAACACGTACCTCGCTGAGCAACAGAAGACACACAAAAACAAACAATGGCTGACTGCCTGATCAAGAAATAAGGGTTTCCTTCGTGAGAGGAATGCTACGCTGATGTTCGACACCATGCATGGTGAACCCGTCCCACGTAGACCGTAATATGGGTCCCAACTTTGAGCCTTCGATCCTTGCACCCCTGGAGTGCTTTCGCTGCCTTTGCAAAGGGAATGCCAGGCTGACGTTCGAGACCCAAGTCAGACTGAGTCCTAAACCTTCGAGACAACCCTCTGATGCGTCAGCTTCGTTGCAGTCGTGGCGCCACAGCAGTGAGCCCTGCGGCACAGGACACTCCGAGGGTCGTCTGCTGGCGACCGCTGAACCGTCCACAGAGAAGAATCTGTCAAGCATGCATGCGACTGGAATCGGAACCCTGTATGACGTGGATTGATGTGGGGGGGCGTTGCCCCCCCCAAAAACCCAAAACCATCCTGTCATGTCCGAGGGACATCGCAGCAAAGGCCAATGCGCCCAGAAAGCTGTCCATGGTAACCTTGGCCCTCTTGGCTGCAGAGATGTGGATGTCCCATTGGAACAGCTCGTAGAAGGGATGCATCACCAAGCCTTGGAATTTCTGGCCCTGTGCTCCAACCAGCAAATTTCCGGCAGTGGAGGATGCTTTTGGGGCGAGCTCCAACAAGCATCATCGAGTCAAACTAGCCCGTCAAGACGAGCACAGACGCCCAAACTTACACTGCAGTACCTGCATGACTGCACCCTATGCTAGAGAGGCACCTCCATTTGTGTCCAACGAGGATGCTTATGTCGCAACTATATAACTAGACTAGACTGGGCCTCTGCTGCTGCCAGGGGTCAGGTAGACCAGCAGCGCGCCCAGAAAGAGGAGTGCACGGCCAGGTACATTGAGGGCAATGTCACCTGGACAGGGCCCTCAACACGAGCCTTCTCCCACACGTCGCCTCGGTTTCACCCGCACCTCCATCTCAAGCACCAGCTTATTCAGCAGTGGAGACCTTGCAACTGCTAGGCTCCCCTGGACCCATCCGGTCTGACCCCAGATGTGCGACTGAATGGTGCTGCCGTGCAGGCCATGCAGTCGCGCCGCGGCGCGCAGGGTGTTCTGACACTGCAGCGTCTCCTGCCAGCAGCCGCAAGGCCACCACCGTCGCCCTCAGCCGTAAATCTCTTCCCTCACCCCTCGACTCTCGCCCACACCCTTACTCTCTCCCTGCCTCTCTCTCCGTCCCCCGCCCTCTCTCGTCCCACTTGTCCTGCAGCTGCTGTCTCAGGCTTGGCCGCAACGTCCGAATTCGTTGTCTATCGACTTTGCTGTCCACATCGTCGCATGATTTCTCTGCGCTCTCTGCAGTCATCCAGCTCATCGCTCGAGACATCTGTCGGCTGGTGCTGCTCATCGCTCGTGACATCTCCACAGTGACCGAGACCGGCGCCACCTCAGTCAGGAAGTACTCATCGCGCCAGAAGCCTGCCCGTCGCATCTTGGCATCTTGAGCCACACCCACTAGCAAAAGGAATAGCAGGGTGGCAGTAAGCAACCACAAGGAAACAGCGGGCAAGCGCGTCCACCAGGTGGTGCGCTGGAAGATCTGCTCGAGCCCTTCTTGTGACAACACGTTCAGGTTGGTGCAATCGAGCAGGGTGTCTAGAAGGACTCCGAAGATGGAGAGATGGGTTGTGGCACACCACACTCCAGAGGTGTTGACGGAGTCGCCATACAAAGCGGAAATCTCTGCAGCAGTGGCCAGACGCACACCCTCTCGGGACCAGACGTCTCCATCCAGATAAGCGCAGCGCCAGTCGGGCTCTGCATTCCGGCCAGAGAGCCGCAGGAAGATCGGGCTTGGGGCAGCATTGATGGAAAGCTCAGAAGACTGTCCACCTAGCACCTCGAAGAGCGACACGTCCACGGCATCCACTGCGAGCTCCACCGATCTCCCTCCGAACTCCGCCTTACTGCCCTGACCAAGGGTGGTTTTGGAGGCTGCCCCTGTCAAGGGAACCACGGTCAAGATGCGATCAGCATTCGGGTTGCCCTGAACTGGCAGGGCGTCTTGCGGCAAGATGACGGCAGCTGGGCTCTCTTCCACCTCGATTTCGATGACTGGGCTTGAGATGTTCAGAGCCACGGCAGTGACCGTGCCCATCTCCGTAACTGTCGTGGCCTTTTGGCTCCCGGAGCTTAAGAGCTGCTCCACGACGCTCTCTGTCTCGGCCTGTAACGACTCAGTGACTGCCGCAAGGTCTGCAACTGTCCATGTCCTCGTGGTCGTAGTAGCAGTCATGGAGGTGCTGCTTGACAGACTTGTGGTGAGAGTGCCAGTCGACGTTGACGTTGACATGGTTCCGGTGCGTGTTGCGCTGGTCCTCGTAGTGGTGACCGTGGTCCTCGAGGTAGTGGTCGCAGTGGTCGAGACGGTGGACGTCTCCGTCGTCGTGCTTGTCAGTGTGGCAGTCGTCGTGACTGCGTATGTGTAGGTCATTGAAAACGTGGTGGTTGTGCTTGTAGTTGCAGAAACTGTCACCGTGGATATCGTCGAAGAAGACGAGCCTGACGATGAACTGGTCGTAGAGATTGTTGTCGTTGTGCTTGCACTGGCATGTGAGGTGGTTGTAATCGTTTGCGCTGTCGAAGTAGTCGTGCTCGTCGGTGTTGTGGTGGTAGTCTCCGGGACTGTGGCACTTGCACTTGTACTAGCAGATGTCGTTAGGGTCGTCGTGGTTGTTTTCGTGGAAGCACTTGCGCTTGAACTGGAGATTGTGGAAGTCCTTGATGCGGTAGTTGTACTTGCAGCTGTCGATGTGGAGGTGGTTGAACTTGAAGATGTGGTGAGTGTAGACGTGCTCGTGGAAACTGTCAACGAGGAGGTCGTTGAACTTGAAGATGTGGTGGGCGTGGTTGTACTTGTGGAAGCTGTCAAAGATGTGGTGGTTGTACTTGACGACGAGCTGGTCTCAGTTATTGTTGTCGTCGCGGTCGTACCAGTGCTTGAATCGGTAGTGGTCGTCGTCATTGTGAGGGTTGTGCTGGCACCTGCCGTGGTCCCACTCATCGTCGCATTGTCCGTAGTCGGCACCGACCCGTACCCGTATGGGCTGCCAGACGTCCCATATGTCGCATTGTCCGTAGTCGGCACCGACCCATACCCGTACGGGCTGCCAGAAGTCCCATATGTCGCATTGCCCGTAGTCGGCACCGACCCGTACCCGTACGGGCTTACAGAAGTCCCATATGTCGCATTGCCCGTAGTCGGCACCGACCCGTACCCGTACGGGCTGCCAGAAGTCCCATATGTTGCATTGTCCGTAGTCGGCACCGACCCATACCCGTACGGGCTGCCAGAAGTCCCATATGTCGCATTGTCCGTAGTCGGCACCGACCCGTACCCGTACGGGCTGACAGAAGTCCCATATGTCGCATTGTCCGTAGTCGGCACCGACCCGTACCCGTACGGGCTGCCAGAAGTCCCATATGTCGCATTGTCCGTAGTCGGCACCGACCCGTACCCGTACGGGCTGACAGAAGTCCCATATGTCGCATTGTCCGTAGTCGGCACCGACCCGTACCCGTACGGGCTGACAGAAGTCCCATATGTTGCATTGTCCGTAGTCGGCACTGACCCATACCCGTACGGGCTGACAGAAGTCCCATATGTCGCATTGTCCGTAGTCGGCACCGACCCGTACCCGTACGGGCTGACAGAAGTCCCATATGTTGCATTGTCCGTAGTCGGCACCGACCCGTACCCGTACGGGCTGACAGAAGTCCCATATGTCGCATTGTCCGTAGTCGGCACCGACCCGTACCCGTACGGGCTGCCAGAAGTCCCATATGTCGCATTGTCCGTAGTCGGCACCGACCCGTACCCGTACGGGTTTACAGAAGTCCCATATGTCGCATTGTCCGTAGTCGGCACCGACCCGTACCCGTACGGGCTGACAGAAGTCCCATATGTTGCATTGTCCGTAGTCGGCACCGACCCATACCCGTACGGGCTGTCAGAAGTCCCATATGTCGCATTGTCCGTAGTCGGCACCGACCCATACCCGTACGGGCTTACAGAAGTCCCATATGTCGCATTGTCCGTAGTCGGCACCGACCCGTACCCGTACGGGCTGACAGAAGTCCCATATGTCGCATTGTCCGTAGTCGGCACCGACCCGTACCCGTACGGGCTGCCAGAAGTCCCATATGTCGCATTGTCCGTAGTCGGCACCGACCCGTACCCGTACGGGCTGACAGAAGTCCCATATGTCGCATTGTCCGTAGTCGGCACCGACCCGTACCCGTACGGGCTGACAGAAGTCCCATATGTCGCATTGTCATACGGGCCGCCAGAATCCTCAGTTGTCGTCGCAGAGGCCAGGGCTGGAAAGCTCCAGATCACTATGAGCTGGAAAGCTCCGGCCAAGCACCTCCTTGAGAGGTACAGTTCCAAATATGCCCGCTGAACAACGGTCCTCCATGGCCACATGAAGTGAGTTCCACCTTACACGAAGCCGAGTAGTTTGGCAGATGCTTCCGGATTATGTATGACTTTGGGATCCGAAGTAGAGCTGCGAAGCATCTTGCAACAAGACCTATACTTTTGTCCGCATGATTTTGTCCGCTTCTTGAGAGCATGCTGCGCCACCGCGTGCACTGCAGACATCTGCTTAACTTGATTTCTGCACACACTGGCGCTTGGATTTGCGAACGGAGAATGAGGCCTGGTTGCCGCTTCTTTAGACTGCTTTTGCTCATTACTCTGCCAAATTGCCAAGCACAATGGCGATGTTCTTCCCAAATTCCTCACTGTTTACTGCTGCTTGAACCCATCTGCCTTCCTGAGGCTTCAAGAGGACCACGGAGCGCTTCAAGACTTCTGCACCCCAGGACGCAGCACTTTGCCGAAAGAGAGGGGGGCACGCATCTAGCCGACGCGGACGGATACTTCGCTGCATGTTATAAGACCTTTGCCTATGAAACAGGCAGGCAGACTGAAGGTACGGACATCTGACGGGCAGTCTTCCTTGGGAAGTCATGCCTTTGGTGCTCACATGTGCGAAATCACATCATTATCTGAAGGACGGCGAGGACTACCTCATCCAGGCAATTCGCAGCGCCCACGGCCCTGCTGCCCAGGAAACCCTCCAAGCGGTGAAGTAAGAGGTTCTGCAGCCTGTTGTTGAAGGCGGGGATGTCCTCAATCCTCGGTGCGTCTCAAAGCCCCCTAAACAACAACTGTCCTCGCATACCACAATGATAATGACAGACGAATAGCTCCACATGCCGCCCAGAATCTTGCTGAGGACTAGCTCTTTGTCTGCGGGGAAGGAGGCCTGGGCCTCCGCCACGTCCAGGTCCATGATCTTATCCAGGCAGCTCCGCTGGGATGCACCCGAGTGGAGCTTGATCCTGGATGCCACCACGACTTGGGGGTCACGGGACTACCTCTAGAGGAACGGGCTGAAAATGCTCGAAAGCCGTTCTCAGCAAGACCCAAGCATCGTTTGCGTGAGATGCAGGTTGTTCGCTTCCACGAGCTCGGCAACGCACCACACCTCGGCGGTTCTTGGAAGCCACTCGCAGGGTTGGATTTCGTGCTCCTTCATACTGACATATACTGACTATTGATATCTAAAAGCATGTTCAAGAACGAGGCCCGGAAACGCGCGTGAGCAAGGAAAAATTCACCTCCATTGCCACCACCTGGAACAGCATGCAGTCGCTTCTTATCAAGTGCAAAAGAAACCAGAGAGCAGCAGCAGTGGCTCAGTATCAAAAGCCTTGGTGAGCCTAGCTGCTCCTGTTACTACTGCTGACTGCTATTGCAACAGACTTGCGACCACCTGCTGCAGCCGAACGTGGCTGAGCTCCCGGATGGACTTCTCGCGCAGGTATCTCTTCAAAAAGGCCATCATGTCGTCGAACTTGTTCATCTCGCTGAGATCTCCAGAAAAGTGCTTCGCCCTAGTGCACCCACAGGGAATGATGGGGTATCCTGTGGTGTCTGTGGGCGGAGGTGTGGCGCAAATTCCTGCATGCTGGTTCACGGAGAAGGCACACACCCAGTAGGGAACATCGAGCTTCCCCACATTCCGGAGCTTTTCTGCGAGTCGATCCAGCTTGCCGTGCCTGAGCTGATGTACCGAAGTTCCCACCTATGCCGGCTTCAAGCCGACGCCACTTTTCGCTTCCCCCTAATCCCCACTCACCCACCTGAGGAGATCTGCCACGCCATCGTAGGTTTCGGCCTCCAAGGCATCTGAGAAGATGGCGCTCAGCAAATAGGTGAACTTGTTGCCCCAGCTGTGCGTGACCATCCGAATTGCCATCTGCGGCTCGCCGTTGTTCACGCTCGTCGCGTAAGAAAAGCCCAACACCTGCGTTGAGGGCAACAGACATCGACATTCGACCAAAACCAACGCGGCACAACGCCAACCTGACTCGGGGTGCTGTGCTCGTCACTGTCGACCGGAATCGAAGAACATCCGAAGAGCTCCACCTGTCAGTGACACCAGACGTGATGGATCAGGCGCACTTGCAGATTACAGGGCCCTTGACACGCAGCACCCTCTCAATGATGCCAAGTGCCTGAGATATGCACCTCAGCTCCGCATGGCTCAGCTGCAAGCGGCTCACTGTAGTCTTGATCGCATCTCTGCTGCGTGCTCCGCTAGGTTTCAGCACACAACTACCGGTAAGTAGGCAGCGCTACAGTTTCAAGCAAGTGCATGCAGCCGGCCCTCCATGCAGCTGGGTCGAGATCACCCTGCCTACGAGTGCTCATGCCATCTGCTGATGTGCCGTGACTTCAAGGTATCGGCGTGGTATATTTCCGAACTCCAGGAGTCAAAGGGTGGGAATGCAGGCATATGATGTTGCTTGTGTTTGTGGCGCGGGTACGAGGTGTCAGTGGGTGGAGCCGCTAAGACCACCGCATGCGTGCGGGTGAGCATGCATGCGTGCATGCATGCTTGCAGGCGTGTGTGCATGCAAGTGCATCCGTCAAGACGTGCGTCGATCTAGGATGCAGCTCAAGACCCAGCAAGCCTGGGCCAAGAGAAGGCTACAAGGGGGCGACCAGTTTCTTTTGAATGCGATATGAATAAGAATCACAGACACACAGTCAACGCAGTCAAGGAACGCCTGCGGGTCGCTCGTGCTAGCCGGCTCCTGAAAGATTCGCACAGCACGACCAAGCATAATTAGTCGAGCAATGATGCTCCGGATGTTGATGGACCGCTTTTCACTAGATCATGGCTACGGAGGCTCCAGCTACGGTCAAGCATGGTTCTTAAACAGCTGCATGACTGCTTCGTCACTGCTGCTCCTACTGAGATCGTCGGATCATGACCGTCACTATCATAATCGTCGGGATGACTATCATGTATTTGGTGCCTTATTAATTAGAATGGAATAGGCTTGGGGGCCCATTATACTGTAATTATATTAAGGAGCCCCCAAAAATAGTATAGATAGCTATTTAGGCCCCTATATTACCGTATCCTGTCACGTTCCCTGATGGTCGTTTTCATCGTCGTACCACCAGGCCTCGTCCATGCAGGCCACGCAGGCCGTCAAGCCGCAGCTGTACGCAAGGTCGAGCCTCTGAACTGAAGGTCTACCGTCCACTGCCGGAAGGTGTGGCTGAAGTGAGGGATCTAAACGGGACACAAGGAACATGTTTGACGAGTATGAATATTACCTTGCAGGGCTCACGAAAGAGCAGGGTTGTACGGGATACTGGAGAGCTATTTCTGAAGCACTGGACGACTCCCTCTCTGTCTCTTGCTCCCCCTATTCCTCTCCGTGTTTGGTCCGTCCGCCTCCCAAGCCGGTTAGTTGGCTTCCGGTTCAGAGGGGACCAAGGTCCTGAAGCGCGATGGTCAGTTTTCCTTTGCATGGGCTTGTTTAATCAGGGCTGAGACTGAGAGGTTGGTGCAGGTGCTGTTGATGTTTGAGCTTGTCTTGCTGCAGTTCGTGGTTTTGGGTCTCTCTCTCTCTCTCTCTCTCCTGAGCATGGGGGACGGTCGAGTCTCTCTCTTTCTGTCTATTCTTGCTCTTCTCTTTCGTCCCGTCTCTCCCGGTCACTGCTCCCCTCTGCTCTTGCATCCATGTCTCCTTCTCCCGCTCTCCCTCCACAGTTTGCACGCATTCAGAAGCCCGTGCTCTCAGCCCTTGTCAGCAAAGAGGCTGCGCGTGCCGAGACCTTCCGTCTCCGGTGTCCTCTCTAGCACCACCTTCAGCATCGTCCTGGGAGCAAGGTTGACCAAACTTGAGACATCTTGCTTTTGAATCTCAGAGCCAGGCCTGCGAGTGATTCGTGAGCTGCAGGGCCCTGCCCCGACCCTGGTGCTCGGCAGGAATGTCGAAGGTCGTCAAGTCCTCCTCTTCACCGCCTGTGTGGCACTCGAACGGAACTAAACTACTTGGGTTCTCCTTGGCTTGGGGCTTTCAGGCTGCTCAAGGACTCGAGGCCAAGGACCTGCGCTGGAAAAACCTTCCAAGTCGGTGACGCTGGATCCACGCCACACCGAAATGGAGAGGCTCATAAACAGGCCGGAGTCGTTCTCCACCTCGGAAAAGCCGATGTCAGATGCAGAGGGCAGGGCCGCGGAGAAGTGCAGCAAGACCATCCGAACTCCGAGAGCATTACTGAAATAGATTCTAGAAGATTCTTAGACGCTTCACTTCTACACTCAATGCTAGGAGCTACCACGGACAAATACTCGCTGCACGTCCGCTAAGGTCGAAGAAGAGCGAGGATAAGACTGTCTGCATGGTGGCCATGCAAGAGGGAGCGGCAAGGCTAACCGGCTAACCTCGCACCCTCTCAAACACACACACACACACACACACACACACACACACACACACACACACACACACACACACACACACACACACACACACACACACACACACCCACACACGCACACACACCCTGACCCTGCCCCTCGAGCTTATGGCCTCCAGCTCGCTCTGGCAGCCGTTCCAGAACAGGCGGCTGCTCAAGGTCAGCATCTTGGCATTGCCTTCCTCGGAAGCTTCATCGTCCTGGCCGCAGCAAAACACCAGCCACGACGAACGGGGCCTTTGCCTCTTTGCTTTGAGCCTTAGGCTTCCGGCTTCGTCGGGGCAGCTGTTCGGGTGCCCGGGTCCTGAATGCGAATTTGCAAAGCCTCTTCTGCAACAATGCCTTCCACGAGGAAGGCTTCCCCAGGCTCCACGGGACCGGTGACGCTTACTTTCCAGGGCTTCGGCACGGCGTCACGAAGCACCGTGCAGAAGATGGATGCTGCGTGCAGATTGACTACCTTCCCTCTCTGGGAGATGCCATGCAGCACGACTTGGAAGGCACGGGACGGGTGGATGTTCAGTGACAAAGGTATAATCGCCTGCCGAACGACGTCGTGCGTGGTTGACTCGACTGGGTCGAAGCCTGGCATCACGTCCTCCGACCCCAGCAAGCTGTAGAAGTCCAAGAGCTGACGAACGGTGATGCCCCGCCCGGCCAACTCTTCCACCTTCTCATCCCACGGCGTCTTCTCCTTCAGCTCCGTGTCATCCTGAACTTTGGGCTCATCCAGCAGCTCCATATCCAGGCCAAAGCTCTTCGGCGCCATTCTGGGTGAGGCCGCGCAAGCACAGCAGAGCAACTCGGGTCCTAGGCTGATGATGCACGCGAGGAGTGGCACCACGAACAACTTGCGCAGCACCACGAAGGCAAAGGACGTCATCCACTTCCACTCGTGTTCCTCCCCCAAATTCGCCAGGAAAGCCACGATGATCAGCAGATGGAGGATGGAAAGGCAGAAGCCGACTGCCCAAAACGCGGTGTCCCAGAAGAGCCGCACCCGCAACTGCCTCCTGCGGTTCGGGCTCGCCTGGACGAAGCTCCGGTGCGCCAGCGATCGTGCCAGGCCACAAGGCACCGAATTCAGCAGCACGGCAACCGAGGAAGCCAACACGTACCTCGCTGAGCAACAGAAGACACACAAAAACAAACAATGGCTGACTGCCTGATCAAGAAATAAGGGTTTCCTTCGTGAGAGGAATGCTACACTGATGTTCGACACCATGCATGGTGAACCTGTCCTACGTAGACCGTATTATGGGTCCCAAATTTGAGCCTTCGATCCTTGCACCCCTGGAAGACACGAAACCCAAAAGTGGAGTGCTTTCGTTTCCTTTGCAAAGGGAATGCCAGGCTGACGTTCGAGACCCAAGTCAGAACCTCCTACGTAGATGCTGACTGAGTCCTAAACCTTCGAGACAACCCTCTGATGCGTCAGCTTCGTTGCAGTCGTGGCGCCACAGCACTGAGCCCTGCGGCACAGGACACTCCGAGGGTCGTCTGCTGGCGACCGCTGAACCGTCCACAGAGAAGAATCTGTCAAGCATGCATGCGACTGCAATCGGAACCCTGTATGACGCGGATTGCCGCGGGGGGTTGCCCCCCCAAAACCCCAAAACCATCCTGTCATGTCCGAGAGACATCGCAGCAAAGGCCAATGCGCCCAGAAAGCTATCCATGGTAACCTTGGCCCTCTTGGCTGCAGAGATGTGGATGTCCCATTGGAACAGCTCGTAGAAGGGATGCATCACCAAGCCTTGGAATTTCTAGCCCTGTGCTCCAACCAGCATATTTTCGTCAAGCACCTAGTTTCGGTGAAACTGAAGGATGCTTTTGGGTGAGCTCCAACAAGCGCCATCAAGTCAAACGAGCCCGTCAAGACAAAAAACTGAAGCCTAAGCCTACTCTGCACCTGCAGTACCTGCATGGCTGCACCTTGTGTCAGATAGGCACCTCCATTTGCTTCCAACCGGGATTCTTATGTCGCTATCTATACATTTCTAGTCTGCGAATCTGCTGCTGCCAGGGGTCAGGTGGACCAGCAGCGCGCCCAGAAAGAGGAGTGCACAGCCAGGTACATTGAGGGCAATGTCACCTGGACAGGGCCCTCAACACGAGCCTTCTCCCACACGTCGCCTCGGTTTCACCCGCACCTCCATCTCAAGCACCAGCTTATTCAGCAGTGGAGACCTTGCAACTGCTAGGCTCCCCTGGACCCATCCGGTCTGACCCCAGATGTGCGACTGAATGGTGCTGCCATGCAGGCCATGCAGTCGCGCCGCGGCGCGCAGGGTGTTCTGACACTGCAACGTCTCCTGCCAGCAGCCGCAGGGCCACGTTCTGCCCTGCTCTGCATCTCCCGGCCCCAATCCCTCTACTCTTGTCCACACCCGAACCCTCACTCACCCACTCACTCACTCTCTCTCTCTCTCTTCTCTCTCGTTCCGCCTGTCCTGCAGCTGCTGTCTCAGGCTTGGCCGCAACGTCAGAATTCGTTGTCTATCGGCTTTGCTGTCCACATCCCCGTCCGATTTCTCTGCGCTTCCTGCATTCATCCAGCTCATCACACGAGACATCTGTCGGCTGGTGCTGCTCATCGCTCGTGACATCTCCACCGTGACCGAGACCGGCGCCACCTCAGTCAGGAAGTACTCATCGCGCCAGAAGCCTGCCCGTCGCATCTTGGCATCTTGAGCCACGCCCACTAGCACAAGGAACAGTAGGGCAGCAGTAAGCAACCACAAGGAAACGGCGGGCAAGAGCTTCCACCAGGTGGTGCGCTGGAAGACCTGCTCGAGCCCTTCTTGTGACAACACGTTCAGGTTGGTGCAATCGAGCAAGGTGTCGATCAGAATGCCGAAAATGGAGAGATGGGTTGTGGCACACCACACTCCAGAGGTGTTGACGGAGTCGCCGTACAGGGCAGAAATCTCCGCTGCAGAGGCCAGACGCACACCCTCTCGAGACCAGACCTCTCCGTCCAGATAGGCGCAGCGCCATTCGGGCTCTGGATTCTGGTCAGAGAGCCGCAGAAAGATCGGGCTTGGGGCATCATCGATGGAAATTTCGGAGGACTTGCCACCGAGCACTTCGAAGAGCGACACGTCCACGGCGTCCACTGCGAGCTCCACGGATCTCCCTCCGAACTCCGCCTTGCTGCCCTCGCCAAGGGTGGTTTTGGAGGCTGCCCCTGTCAGGGGAACTACTGTCAAGATGCGTTCGGCATCCACGTTGCCCTGAACTGGCAGGGCTTCTTGCGGCAAGATGACGGCAGCTGGGCTCTCTTCCGCCTCGACTTCGATGACTGGGCTTGAGATGTTCAGGGCCACGGCAGTGACCGTGCCCATCGCCGTAACTGTCGTGGCCTTTTGGCTCCCGGAGCTCAAGAGCTCCTCCACGACGCTCTCTGTCTCGGCCTGTAACGACTCAGTGACTGCCGCAAGGTCTGCAACTGTCCATGTCCTCGTGGTCGTGGTAGCAGTCCTGGAGGTGCTGCTTGACAAACTTGTGGTGAGAGTGCCAGTCGACGTTGACGTTGACATGGTTCCGGTGCGCGTTGCGCTGGTCCCACTAGTGGTGACCGCGGTCCTCGAAGTAGTGGTCGCAGTGGTCGCTGAGACGGTGGACGTCGTCTCCGTCGTCGTGCTTGTCAGTGTGGCAGTCGTCGTGACTGCGTATGTGTAGGTCATTGAAAACGTGGTGGTTGTGCTTGTAGTTGCAGAAACTGTCACCGTGGATATCGTCGAAGAAGACGAGCCTGACGATGAACTTGTCGTAGAGATTGTTGTCGTTGTGCTTGCACTGGCACCTGAGGTGGTTGCAATCGTTTGCGCTGTCGAAGTAGTCGTGCTCGTCGGGGTTGTGGTGGTAGTCTCCGGGACTGTGGCACTTGCACTTGTCCTGGTAGTTTTTGAGGTCGTCGAAGATACGGTGGTTGTACTTGTAGCTGTAGTCGATGTGGAGGTGGTTGAAATTGAAGATGTGGTGAGTGCAAATGTACTTGTGGAAGCTGTAAATGTGGAGGTCGTTGAAACCGAAGATGTGGTGAGAGTAGTCGTGCTTGTGGGAGCTGTCGATGTCGAGGTCGTTGAACTTGCAGATGTGGTGGGTGTTGTTGTACTTGAGAAAGTTGTCAATGTGGAGGTCGTTGAAGTTGGGGATGTGGTGGTTGCGCTTGACGACGAACTGGTCTCAGTTGTTGTTGTCGTCGCGGTCGCACTTGTGCTAGAATCGGTAGTGGTCGTCGTCACTGAGAGAGATGTGGTGGTACCTGTCGTGGTCGGTAGAAACATCTGATACGTATGCAAGTCATTATGCCAATGATCGTTCTCGCCACGGCCTTCCAAAATGTACATCTTACCCTCGGAAGGGTTCAACACGGCCCGGTGGTAGGAACGCGCCGCTGGTGGAGAGGAAGAAGCCATTGGGAAAAACTCCTCCCACAAATTGGTCGAACGAATGTAGCAATGGAGGTCGTTCAGGTAATTCTCACCGGAATCAATGCCTCCGAATATACACATCTTGTTCTCGTTAGTGTCCCAGACAGCGGAGTGCCCTGCCCTGATAGTTGGCACTGTGCCACCAGGACTGACCTCCTGCCATTGGTCAAGAGTGGCATCGTAGTAGTGTAGGTCATTCACATATGAGGAATACGTCTTGCCGGCGAAGATATACATTCGCTTCTCATCCGGGCTCCACACAGCAGCATGCAGATGCCGCCTACCCGGCGTGGTTCCTCCTGGTGAAAGGCTCTGCCAAGAATTACTTGTGCTGTGGTAGTAGCTGAGGTCTTGCATTCTTTTTCGTGGCGAATCCTGCAAACCCGCAAAAACGTACATCCGGTTTTCGGAATCGTCCCAAACGGCCGAATGGCCGTGGCGTTCACTAGGTGGAGAGCCGCTGGGAGAAAGCTGCTCCCATGCATCATCTTGGCTCTTGTAAGCCCAGAGGTCGTTCAAAAACGGCGCGTTGATCTCCCCGGCCCCTCCGAAAACATACATCTGCTCTGCGGAAGGGTTCCAGACCGCAACTGTTTTGGTTCGGTTACCAGGTGGGGAACCAGTGGGAGTAAGCTGCTGCCATGTGGCTGCTGCTGTACTGTAGAAATGAAGATCATTCAGTCGTACAAAGTCAGGACTGGGGCCATGACCTGAAAATACGTAGATTCGTTCTTGGCTCTGGCTCCACGCCGTGGCACCATACGCCCGTGGGGCAGGGGCGGACCCTGCCGCTGAGACCTCTTCCCACACACCAGTGGTCGTCGCAAAGGCCAGGGCTGGAAAACTCAAGATCATCATCAGCCTGAAAATTCCGGCCCAGCGCATCCTTGAGAGGTACAGGTCTGGCACAGGCAAGTTTGCCGTCCTCTGCAGATCCATGGCTACGCGAAGCAGCTTCCACCTAAAAGCGAGCCTAGTACTATGTGGCAGATGCTTCGGGAGTAGTCGCATCTACTTTTGACTTTCTGGATCTGGGGAAGCATCTTGCAACAAGTCCAAATTGCTTTAGTCCGCATGATTTTGTCCGCATCTTGAGGAGATGTCGCGTCACCACATACACTGCAGACGACTGTACTAACTGCTTGCTGCACAACGCGCACACGGTCGACGGATGCCTGCCCCCATAATGCCGCCGAAAAATGTCACCTAAGCAGATCTGGAGCTCAAGCATCTGTTTGGGTATCCGACACTGCAAAGACTCGGCAAAGCTCAGACTCGACTCTACGGTGCCTTTCTTGCCTTAGGCTCTATCACATGCTCCCCGTTTCTCACCTCACCGGGCCGCCGGGAGTTCGGGCCCAAGTGTTTGCAGTCTACGGTCGTCGTTTCAACCAAGTTCCGAACGGAACCAGGATGACCGACGTACCTTAGCTGTTATTGGGGTATCTCAGGGCAGGATCGACAAGCGAAAGCTGCACAAAGCCAGCTAGACTTCCAATTCAGCAGCCGATTCTAGCGCATTCAAGCCACTTGATGGTCTGGAGACCGGTGTTCTGACCCTGGCACATCAGATGCATGTACATAGATGCTTGCTCTGTACCTGTATGTGTATAAATGTATATGTTTACATATATTCTGTGATTCTTTCTGTATGTGCATATGCATATGCATATGCATACGTATATGTATATGCATATGCATACACACACGCAAACGCACACGCATATGCACATGTATATGGTCACGCCACACACATATGCATACATACGTACATTCAGACATACATGCATACCTGCGTACGTACATACATACATACACACACACACATACAAATGTGTGTATATATATATATATGCGATTATGTATATGTATGTGTGTATATGTATATTTATTTGTTTACACATGTGCTTACTTACACATACATGTATGCATGTGTGCATGCATGCATGTAAGTACCTGTGTATGTGTACATATGTATATATGTAGATATATATATATATATACACCCATACACCTCGTATTGTGCCGCAGCATTGTGCTGCATTTTCGTGTGCGATGCCAACTCATGCAAGCTTTGATACCATGCTGTATGAGCATGTTCTCTGTTAGTGTGATCTTGTATTATGCTGGGTTTCAGTGTGCCAAACTACCTAAATCCATTACCCCAAGCCCGGCCGTCTCGCTGGCGAAGGCAAAGGTATCCGTGGTCATCACAGTACCAACCTTGAACCTCAGAGTGGCACAGCCACAGAAGGACGGGCCAACATATACCCTAAACCCTAAACCCTAAACCCTAAACCCTAAACCCTAAACCCTAAACCGAAACACAACGGGAACATGCCGGACCCAAAGGACGCAAGCATCCCTTATGCCGGACATCGAGTACAAAGTATAAGGAGTATATCCCCTGTTACAAGAGTTTCGGGTTGGGGTGCAGGTTCAATTTTAGCTAGCGGCCTGCACTCGAGAGTTGTGGAAGCTCTATGACTCCAGGCTGATATCCAGCCGAAAGCCGACCATGTAGGACAAATGCAACAAAAACCCTTCTGGGTCTCACTATCTTCGCCTCCTCGTCTAAGATCCAGGCCAGCTGTTCGGGTCGCCGGAGTTGGAATTAGCAAAGCCTCGGCGCCGAGGCATTTTTGCGCCTCTGTGATGTCTCAGACGGAAGATACCCTGACTTGACCACCACCCTGTCCCACCACTGCCCCCGCAAAGAAAGAGCCGTCTCGTTGGGAGTTGGTATCCGGCAGTATCCGGTACCCACTGCCTTCGCGTCAATCTCACATAAGCTTGACCCTGCAGCAACCGATGCCGGTTGTCAGAAAACCTTCGACCACAGAATCGAGACTATAACTTCTGAAGCTCAAACTCCACACAAACTGAGTTGCGTCATCCCAACAAGAGACAGCTCCAAGGCCGTCGCAAACGTCGATGCCCTCGGTTTGGCTTAAGTGCTTGCTGGCTGCTTAAAGGCTCAGAGATTGTGGAGAGTTTTGCGCGGAGGGTTTAGGGTTTGGGGTTTAAAGTTTCGTCAAATGTAGCTGTTGCTGCTTCAGAACCTTGAAGCCGTCTGCGGCCTCCCCCATATTGGCCACAACTTTGCCCATCACTATCGTGCACCAGTCAGTGAACACTCGACACAGGAAGCCTTTAGGATTTGGACTTTCCGGTTCCGCGATTTCAGCCACACATGGCCAGACTCCTGCCTCTATCTCTCTACCTGCCTGCCTGCCTGGAACCCGGCAATGTCAATAGAATTGTGCTATGCCAGCTGCTGTAATGCGTTTTTCCGCATCGCACCAACTTGCAGCTCGTTGCATCATACTGAAAACACTGCAGCCATTGCATCAGCGCATCGAATGCACTGCGAAAAGTAAATTGCATAACTTACGTATGTTGCGCGAGTCGCAAGCCGTGCTACTTACACATGTCCGGTTGCAACGGTTGGGTGCTCTGCAAGCCGCCTTTTGTAACATGCATGAAACGCATACATACCCAGGCACGTCGGCCTGTAGAAACCACACCGATGAATTGCCATGGATATATCGGTATACACCTACTTATGGCCTAAACATACAAAGAAACTTGGGCTGTGACTCTCTTCAAACTCAAATTCAGCTTCACCTGCTTGGCCCGCCAGGCCTGCCATTGCTGCGTGCTCCGAGTCAGCAATATCGGGGGCTTAATAATTAGACCTTGGTTTTGGGGCCCATTAAACATTATATATACTATACTTATAATAAGGAACCCCCAAAATAGTATGTCTTGAACTCAGAATCTGTTTCAGACTTCGGGTGTGGCCCGGCGGCCCGACTATTCGTGCACTTTTCAGAACCACCGGCGGCCTTGTAAGTGGTATCCCTGCCGCCGGTCAGTGCCCGGCTGTCCGTGGTAGAGGGCCACACCTGGGCGACTGTCGGTTGGAGGGAAACATTTCGCGACTATCTCATAGTGTCAGATACGACATTGCCCTACCGAGGTCCTTCTTACATGTGGGCAAGCTTTGCCATGTATTCTGTATCTTTTGCATGTGCGCATGTGCCGTCTTACCCTGTCACCATGAATCCCGTGTATCTCAGCATCTCTATTGCATCCGTGTAATGTCTGCCTTACCCTCCGTTCCCACACGCTCGCATCCATCGCTTGACATGAATGCTCTTGCTTCTATGCTGCTGCATACTAGCAGTGTTTGGTGCCTTCACGGCGAAATGGTTGATTCGATTACTGTACCACCCGCCTCTGAATCTGCCAGACCTGAAGTGCTACGACACCAACATCAAGTTGAATGGTGAATGCGTGCAGATGGAGATAAAGATCGAGATTCAGATATCTGGTCATGTGCACGGCCTGCACTTGCGGTCCGTGACCTCCAGAATACTTTGGCTCGCTCAAGTCCCTCACTCTGATAGGTTGTGATTCCGTTCGGACTCGTGGCATGGCCTTGCATGACCTTCAACCGGCATGCTGCCTCGAAGGTACGCAAAAGGACGCATCCTTAAACTTACTAGCAGTGAAAGGGGGTTTCCGAAAACAGGGGACCCTAATATAGTACCCTAAATAGTAGGATCCTTATTATAAAGACCCCCAAATAAGGTACCCCTAATTTTCGGAAACTCCCATGTAGCCCCCTTACAGTGAAGCCCAATAAGGCAGGGATATCCCTGTAAAGTGCTTGTACTTATGTCCTTTTCGAGTCCCTAATCACTGGCTGACAAGCCAAAACATCCGCTTTGACAGGCTTTTTCAGGCTCGCGCTGCCGCCGGATTCTCCTGGAGGTAGGTCCGGCACCTGTCCCAGAGAACCCGGTATCCCTTAACTAAGGCCTATACCGTAACTGTAGAAGCCTTAATATTATGATTTAAGGTATATCCCTTGAATAAGGAAATTACCTTAATTATAGAGGCCTTAGATATTATGTTTTAAGGTATATCCCTTAATTAAGGGGTATTGGGATCTCTGGGCGTCCCAAGAGCCAGGGCAAATCAGAGCATACGTGGCGGGCAACTGTGGTGCTTAGGGCTTATAAAGCGTTTAGGGTCTGGCCTATGCCCTTCTGAAGAGCCGAGAACCTGAAGAAAGCAACACTTCTGAAACAAGCCGAGTCCGTCCCCCGAGGCCCCTGCCCTGCATTCTGATCCCAGGAGGGTCGGTCGTTCGATTGAACTTGACCGATGAATTTCACACCTGTCTCGATGCAGGTTGTCAAAGAAATGCGGTGGCACTTGCGAGAACTCAGTGAGATTCAAACCTTTTGGGTAAGGTAAGTCAGGTTTTCAATGAATCTAGAACCCCCGAAGATGTGCTGTCAGCTCCTGCCGAGTTTCCTTTCACGCAGCAAACGCGTGGGACAGAAGCCCAGGATAGTAGGAGACAGACTGGGGTCAGAGATGCGGCTACGGAGAGGAGGTGATGTAGAAACAAAAGGACAGTGCCTAAAGGTCAAAGGCGCGCATACTGCTCCTGGCACTCAGAACGGTGCTCTAAACCCTGAACCCAAACGAACCCTGCAACGTTCTGGTCGACGGTCTCTTTGGGCAACTCAAAACTTCATCTCGTGGATTATATACTCTATACACCTCTGAGTTGAACCCAGACCTTTCTTTAAGGACTCATGTAGAAGTATCGTGAAGTTAGCAGGGTTGAGCATCAGCGGAATCCTTCTATGCTAACGGTGGGATTCCTATATAGGGGCCTCAATAATTAGAATAGGGTTTGGGGGCCCGGTATAATCATAATAAGGAAGCCCCAAAATAGTATTGGTAAACATTTAGGCCCCTATAATAACCCTTTTTTGTCAACCATGCCGGACAGGCGATTCTCGTCCGTTGCCATGCAGCCACCTGGCGAAGCACTGCTAGGGTTCACTGCTAGGGTTTACGAGCTTACTGTAGGGCTCTGCAGTTGTTGACAGACCAAAACTCTTGCCCCTAGGCAC